AGCTGTGTCAGTACTCACATGCAAGCATTTTCTCTTCAAAAATGAAAAAAAAATCTAGGTGGAAAATATAATCTGACCCTTCTGATCTCCCCCAACTATATGTGCAAGTCAGAGTACATACTTAAAGCACATTAGGTCTCAAAGACTGCAACTGTATTATCATTTTATCTCTAGTTTCTGGAGTTAAATGAGCAAACAGCGGAGTACAGGCAGCCCACACAGAACTTGGGCATGTTAATAGTAAAGAGCTGCCAGATCAAATATAACTTTTCAAGTATGCCCAAATATTACATGGGACAAATGCTTACTGAAAAATACCTCTTGCCAGCATGGGTGGTGGCACTCACCTTTAACCCCAGTACTTGGGCAGCAGAGGCAGGAGGAGTACTGTGAATTTAAGACCAGCATGGTCTACACAGTAATCTCCAGGTCAACCAGGGCTACAGTGAGATGCTGTTAAAAAAAAAAGTGTACCTGTTGAAATCCAAATTTAAATGGGCTTGTGTTATTTTGTTACTAACGTAACAACCATAATTTGTAAGGTAGTACCTTTAAGTGTAAAAGGAAGCAGCTAAATGAAAGATCTATTACATTCTGGTGGCATTTTGGTTTTCTTTAGGGAATGCTATTAGCTGCACATGAGAGATTTACAACACATAATATAAGAAAGTAAGCTTAACTAGCTAGTAAGCTATAAAAACTTTCCCAACAGCAGTGGGATCTTATCTTTAAATGCTTTCTCCCATTAAAACACCAAGGAGTCACTCCTAACTAAGAAAAATAGATTAGCACCTTAAGAAATATTAGCGGTGTTCACTGATAGGCTCTATGTACTGCAATACCAAAGTTGTCTGTTATATTTCTGAAAGGCAAAAAGACCAACAATAACAGACAGCCATAAGACACTGTCCGAACAAATGCTCCTCAAAACAGTTCTGTCGGAAAGGAAGCATCCATTTATGTTAAATGACAATAATTTCAAACAGATAAGAGAAAAATCTTTTTCATGGTCACAGAGGTCTTATTAACACATCCTCTACCAATGGCTATAAAAAGAGGGTGCTGAGCAACTCTGGAGCCCTGGAAAGGGGAGAAGCTCAACTATTCCAGTCCACTGTGGTTACTTTCCCTGCACACTGAGCTTATGTGTTGAGGATCGGAATCCTTTCTCCATTAAGGTACCTATAAGAACTAGGAGGAGCTTATAGAGTATAGTGGTGGGACACAGATATCCACCTGACATGCATATCAGTCAAAGAAAAAGGAGAGTTTATCCATCAAACTTAAGCAGCACCCTCTCATTTCATGCTGACTGTATGGTCCTTTGCAGGACAAATAAAAAGACTGCCCAAGATATAAAAGGCTTTCTCAAGAAAACCACCAGTCTTGAAGTTTTGGGGAACAGATCGACTTGTTACTCCTTTTAGAGAAAGTATGTCATTAATTCAAGTATTACATTTACTTTCTCAGAAGGACCTTTACAAATTTCATTATTATGAATGTTTATCCAATTGTTTTTCTTTGCTTAATAAAATGTAACTTTCATTTATTTCAGTGTTCTACAACCCTTAAGCTAATGCTTTAAAAGTTACAAGATTTAAAAGTACTATACACTGATATTATCTTTCTCATTCCACAAAAAAGACAGGTAAACGTCACTATTTCTAGTGACATATTTCTAGTTTCATCGCTTTCGCAGAAGCTGATTGACTATTGTGTCCCTTCAACACGGAAGTTCTGCTCTGGCTGATCTCTTTAAAGACTCACTTTCAGTTGCTGACATGAGTAACAATACCCACTAACAAAATAGGTGACAATGATATTCAACGACCTTAAACTATGGTAATTTATAACTCATTTTTTGGTATGGAAATGTGAACGGGGGCCTCTGGAAACTGATATTCACTGAGAATTATGCTATCATTAACAACAGTGTATGAACAAGGCATGAACATCATCAGGAGAGGAGGTAGAAAGTTGAAAAATATCAGTATAATTTAATCATCTGGCTTTGGCACAGCGGAGTGCCATTTGTGCCTTCTTTATCCAGCCAGTACTTCTAGTCAGCTAGGCCAGGGCAGGCACTGCCAAATCTAAAACTAAAGCATAAATCACACAATTAACTTCTTTTTTCCTGGTAGCCAAATTAGCAACATTATGAAATAAGTGAAATTAATTTAATGCCTTACCTGGAACATAATCTATCAGAAATGGCATCATACCAACATGTGCTATAAGTATTCAGACAGGTTTCCAAGCCTAATCTTTAAAAGTCAGAATATACTTTACTTCTGAATGCACTCTACACTCACATCACATCTTCAATAGCCACCTGTGGCAAATGGCTACTAAACCATACAGTGTAGTTAAACTAAATGTTAAGAAGAGTCCTGTTAGCTGGGCTGGGTGGCACATGCCTGTAATCCCACCACTGGAGGAGGCAGGGGAATGTGAATCTCTGTGAGTTTGAAGCTAGCCTGGTCTACAAAGCAAATCCAGGCCAGACAAGGCTAGACAGAGACACCCTGTCCTGAAAACCAAAAACAAACAAACAAATAAATGAGCCATATTTCTTGTTTTAATCACTCCCTAATGTTTTTTACTGAGCTGCATGTCAGGCCCCTAGTGAGGTTATTTGTTCTTTTGTGTTAACGAACAAAGATGCTTTGAGGGGTGCAAAAATCATCAAGTAAAGCCCTCTATGTTCAAGCGAAGATTGAAATGTTTAGGTACTGAGTAAAATGTAGTCAGCTGGTTAGGCCCAAACTCAGGGCCACAGACTCTTATACAGTACACTGTGGGAGTTGTGAGCCTCAACCCAGAGTTTAAATGAACAGATTAGATGATAGTTTCTATTCTGTTTCTACATGAAGGTATAAGCAATGTTTTCATTTTTTAAAGAAGAGAAGTAAGTTTTTAAAGAAGAGAAGAAGTTTTTAAAGAAGAGAAATAAGAGAATTACATTTTATATGTTTAAGGTAAAGATAAATAATTTTGATTTTTTTGTTTTAGTTTCCGAGACAGGCTTTCTCTATTTAGCCTTAGTTGCACTGGACTTGTTTTGTATACCAGGCTGGCCTAGTACTCACAGCGATCCACCTGCCTCTGCCTCCTTAAGTGCTGGAATTACAAGCATGCACCACTGTGTCCTGTGAGGCTTTTTCATGATAAATCATAGACAGCCTCTTGCATTATAATTTAACTATGTGGTTTCCTCTGTAGCATCCCTATTTCTTCTGAGCCCTCTGACAGAAAACACTGGCTGATCCATTACTCAGAAAGTACTTCTGACACATATGAGTACATACATCAGCTCTAAGGTACTAACAGAAAGTCTAAGGAAGCAGCACAGCAACAAGCCAGGTCAGATCCCTGGGGACTACGCCCTTACAAAGCTCCTTTCCTTAAGCTTTGGAAGTCTTCATATAGATGAGCAAACTTAAGAAAACAGCAAACTGTCAAGTGTGCAGACACGTCCAGTTCATAATGTTAGTATGCTGCAGTGTCCATATGCCTCCCCACCCCCCAACACGTTCCACTTGACATGTGCAAACTGAATTCTTAAGGTAATAGCATTAACAGATATGGCTTTGGGGAGATAATTAGGTCACGAGGGTGGAAACTTCATAAGAGGAATTGTTTCCTTTAATAAGGGGTGAAGGTCAGAGCTCCATGTCCTGACAGAAGAAGGTGCCATCTACGAACTGAAAAAGCAGGCACTTACTGAACAGCAAGGTTGCTAGCACCTTGATCTTGGGGCTTTCCAGCTCTAGAACTTAAGATAATCTCCTGCTGTTTGTAAGCCAGGATTCAGTGTACAGTACTTTGTAATTGTAGTTTGATAAAGACACTGAGCACAACTGAAGCACTCATGGTGGTTCAATGCATCATCTTTTATTCCTATCACAGACGGTATTCATGGTCAACACTCACAATGTGCTTGAAGTAAAATAAAATTGAAGAGATCAAGGTACTTTGGTATAAAAGGTAGACAGTTTTTGTTGTCCTTGAATCCATTTCTTTTATCAATTTCTACCCAGTTCTTTGTATTGTGCCTTAGGCATAGTCAGTGTTTAGTAAATATTTATTAAATAAATGAGTGAAAAATGAATACATGTAAGTGAAACATGATTTTTATTCTTATTCATCAATTTAAATAAGTTTTCTCTTGATTATGAAATGTTTGCTTAGTAAAAATTACTAAAAATCCCTTAAAATTACGGTAACTTTCTACTTACAGCTCGTTAACTAACTGTAATTAATGCATTCATTGGTCAGGATTTTCTGGCCACCCTTTCTGCATTAGGTACTGGGGATCCTGTGCTGAAGCAATAGGTCAGACCCTGACCTTGTGGAAACACTCCCTGCTGCACTGACAAGTGGGAACATGCCACTGTGCACGAAGCTGCACACTCATGGCTCTCTCTTCCACCCGAGTATTATTTTAGTAGCTGACATTCCACTGAGCCTTAAGATGATGACCTCAGTGTGTAGAAAGAACCCAACATGCTAACATTCCCTCCAGGAGGAAACAGCCTTTTCATGGGAAAAGAAGACATAAACTGGCTTTTCTTCAGAATAGTCAAGAAGTATTCTCTGACAATGTGATAGGAAGACAACAGAATTCTCTACGGATTCCTGTTATCTATCCAAACATGCTAGGGAACAAAATTCACTCAGAAATGGTCAAAATGTTCTAACTGAAGAACTCTATTTCTCTCTTCTGCACCTGTTTCCTCTTAATTTCCAGGTCTCCGTTTTTCTTCCACCCTCTCTTTCTCTCTCCGGTCCTCTCTTCTTTTCACCTCCTTCCAAAAGGTCCTGTTTCTAGAACTAGAACAAGCATGATGGCTGGGAGGCCACTCCCTGTACTGCTCACCACTGGCTTTCATAGACCACATACTTCTCGGTGTTTGGGTAAATCCATCCTCAGGAGACACTTACTACCTCGGTTACTCCCTCAGTTTTACTCCAAAGGATTCTTGCGGCACTTTACTTACCTCTGAAGACTGGCTGCTTTCTACTTCGGGAGGTTTACGTCTCATCTCATTTGTTGTATCTCCTATGAGACAGAAAGAGAACTTTATTGTCACAAGGTTATCTTCTGTTTGCTCACAGTGCTTTTTGTTCCATGACATGGAAGCGACCACTATTTCCTTTCTTACAAAGCAAACAAATTAATTTTTAAGAGCAATAAAATATATTTTACACAGTTCTCATGAATCATTCCATAAACATACACTAAAATGTATTCTGGTTTACACTGAAAAAATAAAATTGATTTGTATTGTGTATATCAAGTCATATTTTAAATAAATCAAAAAAGCTGTTATAACTTGAAGACAGGCAAACTATCTTAAAATACAAATTTCTTTAAGACATGAGTAATCATTCTCCAATTTTGTTTTCATCAGGCTTAATCTTTACGTTTTTTTTTTTTTTTTGGGGGGGGTCCCTGTGGATTAAAAGTGGATATGTATGTTTTTGTGTAAAGCAAATGGAAGACAATCTGCACAGCAGGAAAGAACAATGAAAATATAAATAGCCTTCGTTTGGTTAGTACTATGATTTTGAAGTCTAATGCCTCAGAAGATCCTATTATTAAATTAATTTGGACCAGGCTGACGTAAAGACATGGAATAGATGTACAGTCGAGCAAGTATAGGCAAACAACTTACGAATGGTCTGCTTTAATTTGCTTATTACTAATAGTTGGTGATTGGCAAATGGTCAGTACATACCTAATTAGCCTAGTTCTCTGAAGCATAATCAGAAGCTAATTTAGTAATCTGTAAATTGTTCTTCCCATGAAATTAGGTCAGCTTAAGAATGTACGTAACAGTGAAATTATCAAGCTTAAAGATAATGGTTTGGTTGAAATCAAAGGTAAGGAATTTCTTAATGTTAAGAAATGTGAGCATAAAGCATTACAAGTTTACACTGTAAACTTTTTCTTATGAAACACTAAAGCTTAGTTTATCAATGGTGACAATTAAAAAAAGGCTCTTGAAGACTCTACAGAACTAAATAAAACTTGTTATAATTGAGAACCACGGGCAATTAAAATGTCTGATATAGTTAGCATCTCCATGTATTTCAATATAGACTAATCAATGCACATTACAATCTATCAGCTATGTTTTCAATTGTATGCAATATGACTGTTGTTGAGCAGCATTCACCACAAAAAAAGTTATTCAATATTTATTGGTGAGGAGGAGTGGGAGCTGGAGAGAAAGAAATCATCATGAGGCAAGGTGGATCATGAGCATGTAGCAGTAAGGACAGACTGATGGTTCAGAAACTGCCCAGGAGTCATCAGATTGGGGACTGAATTCTATGGCTGATGGTCCCACTTATCCATCTTGGTCCCTTCATCCATCTTGAAAGCCAACTGTGTAGCACCATCAAATCTTTCTCTGATGCTGACTCTCTCACTTCCCTACCATGTTTAGAGGATTCTAGCACCACACCGGATGTCCAAGGCTACTCAAGAGGAACCCTGCTACTTAGCCATAAACAGCTTTGAAAATGAGGAGGCTGTGTGCTTCTTGTACCTAATCCAGATGGCAATTTCACAGCTCGGAGACTTGGAAGAACTGGCCAGATGGATGGAAAGACTTAGGGGTGAATGTATGATCAGTGTTACTTTTAGGGTGTAGTAATGTCATCAGAGAAAAACTACAAATTCAGGTGGTCTCAGCAGAGGTTCCTCCTAAATAATTCAAGAAGGTTGTTGAGCTGAAAGTGACCAACACAGTTTATGAGTAAAGCATCATTCAGTTTAGAAAACAAATATTTATTGGTTTAATGAATTAGGAAATTTCTCTTTGTAGTATTTCACTAAAAATCTGTGGTGAACACTTCAAAGATAGCCAGTAAATCTTGTATTTGAGCATGTAATAATACGTTTCTTCTAAAATTTGTAAAATTTAAAGGACAATATTATGAAATATTATCTTTTTACTTTATTTGTAACATAATTGTAAAAACATCTTTAAAATGTAAAAAGTTAATATAGTATATTTTTCAAAAATCATACAGAAAGAAAACCAGCACAGATTTGGTCTGTATATAATAGCCAGATTTGGTGCTGGTCCACTCCCTCCACCATATTCTCGCCATTCCTTTTTGCTTCACTAGGCTCCACACACTATATGTTTTCTTTTCTTCCAATGGTAACTAGTTCTGGCCAGAGATAGTTTATGTCCTTTCTTCTGGCCTATTAAAGCAAACATACAATGCCCTTGGTGTTTTTCCCAAGTTTTAAAGATCAGAAATAGTTTCACCAGAAGTAAAATTCCTCCTGTACTATAAACATGTTATTTTCTTTGTTTAAAAATGGAGATTGTATTTTCAGTAAATAATAAAGGCTACACATACTAATAAGGCTCACTGTGATCTTAAAGGACAAATGTGAAATAATTTAGAGGTTGTCTATTTTTTGTTGTGAAGGGACAGAGAGTAAACATGTTGGGCTTTGCAGGCCATATGGTTTCTGTCACAAATTCACAACTCCACCACTGTAGCCAAAAGCAGCCATAGACATCATGTGAGCTAATAAGTGGCTATGATCCAAGACAATGTTATTTATGAAAACAGCTGGCAGGCTGGAGAGTTTACTAATCCCCATTGTAGAGGAATATTTGCACTGTGCATTTTCTGGGATTAAAATAAAAACAAAACAAAAACATTTGCACTTTTCAAGGAGATGAGAAAGGGAGGGTCAGAGTTCATCACCATGACCCAATTCTATTGGGAAAAGGTCAGCGTGGGAGAGGAGAAATAGTATAAGAAAGTGAGCACTAGGCCTAAGGGAAGAGACAGTAGAGAAATTTGTGGGCTTGGGAAGGAGACAAATGTACTCTTGTAGAGAAGGTTTGGTGGTAGCAAGGGGGAGAATAGATCCATGTATGCCCCATTAGCACTTGGTCCTGGACACTCTTTTCTCTGTGGGTTGGTGAGTTTGAGAGGACCTAGTTCTATCTGGTTCTACTCTCTCTTTAGTTTCTCTTGATAAAAGATGGCCATAGAGAACATGGTGCTCCAACAAGTTCTCTCCCAGTAGGAGAAGCCTTCCCCAACTCAGCAAAAGCTGAGCCTGGATGGAAATCAGGCTGAGAATTTAAATTAAGAAACCCACTTGCTTCTTGATTTAAACCACATTATTCAACATAAGTTTCTAGGCAAAAAGGGTTTGCTGTCTATTATGATTTTGTCTCAACTGGCCAAATTTTATATGAAAAGAGGATTGGTATTACCAGCACATCCTCGAGCTCCTAAATACCAGGACTAGACTAATATGAACATAATTGGAGTTTGCCTCCCTATAAGAAGATAGGAGTAGGATGCAACTAGGAGAGATTATATTGAGCTCAACACAACGAGGGAAGTCAGGCCTGGTCCTAGAAACCTAGCCAACTATTTTGGGTTATTACAGTTAGAGATTTTGGAGAACCTACAACCAATTTACTAAACTAGCACAATCCCTAACTATATTCTATATATTTGTCCTTACACCCAAGGTAAGTCCTTCTCACCCCTAGTCAAGGAAACTTCTCTTTGCAACAGACACAGAAAACCCATCAAAATGCAGTCTAGTCCCAACCAATATATCTCAACACAACTCCTGCACCCAAGGCTCAAGGATCATTGCAGAAGAGGGGAGGAAAAACTGTGAGTTCAAGAAGAACAGGAAGTTTACTGTGAAATTAGCTTTCTTAGAAATGTCACAAACTACACACACGAATTCTACCCAATATGGCTCCTAAACAAGACCTGAATAAGAATGACACCAACAGACATGCTAACAAGAAAGGGAAAAAAAAAATATCATGAAGCTTTAACCCTAGACAAAGAACTACAGGTAGCTAAGGAAAGCTGAGAGTAGGAGAAACAGTCCTCCCCAGGGAAGATCACACCAATTGGTTATCCAATGCCACATGGTTAACCCCAAAAGCAAGTTCACACAAGTAATATTATCCTGACTGAGCAGCAGGCTGTATTTGGGAAAACACACACAAACACACTTAACAATTAATTAAAAAAGAGGCCACGAATTTGAAAGAGGAGGTAGAAGGAGGGTTTGGAGGGAGAAAAGAAGAAAATAATGCAGCATATAAATTATTATATGCTATATTATATATGTAATAATATATTTCTCATGCATATGAATATGTATTATAATCTCAAAAAAAACAAAAGGTAGAAAAAAATTTTTAGTAGGATAAACCTACTAAAATCTGTACACCTAAAGAAAATAATCAAGAAGGAAGAATCTGGCTAAAATGCTCAATCCCTATTCAGGAAGGCAAAGAGGACGGACATCAGAAGAAGGAGAAAACAGGAAACAGGACAGGAGCCTACCACAGAGCGCCTCTGAAAGACTCTACCCTGCAGGGTATCAAAGCAGATGCTGAGACTTAGGCCAAACTTTGGGTAGAGCACAAGGAATCTTATGAAAGAAGGGGGAGATAGAAAGACCTGGAGAGGACAGGAGCTCCACAAGGAGAGAAACAGAACCAAAAAATCTGGGCACAGGGATCTTTTTGAGTCTGATACTCCAACCAAGGAACATTCATGGAGATAACCTAGAACCCCTGCACAGATGTAGCCCATGGCAGCTCAATCTCCAAGTGGGTTCCCTATTAATGGGAACAGGGATTGTCTCTGACATGAACTGATTGGCCTGCTTTTTGATCACCTCCATCTGAGGAGGGAGTAGCCTTACCAGCCACAGAGGAAGACAAAGAAGCCACTCCTGATGAGACCTGATAGGCTAGGATGGGAAGGAAGGAGAGGAAGACCTCCCTTAGCAGTGGACTTGGGAAGGGGCATGCGTGGAGAAGGGGGAGGGAGGGTAGGGTTGTGAGGGGGCTATGAGGGGATACAAAGTGAATAAAGTGTAATTAATAAAAATTAAAATAAAAATATTAAAAAAATAGAAAACAACAACTAAAACTATATTATATGATATTCATAACTAATCATAAAATCAATTCATAGTATGTTAAGTATATACCTCTGTAAATATAATTTTATCTTATTGAGATTAAAGAGACT